ACCATCAGCCCATCACCTCCATAACACTAAACCATGTCCCACACTGCCCCATCTCCATGTTTCTTGAGCACCGCCAGAAACAGTGACTCTACCACACCCCTGGGCTGCCTGTTTCAGCCTGCCTTCCTATCACAAAGACAAAATTGCCAGGAAACCTTCTCATTTACATGGAACTGGCCAGATATTTGCACAGTCCACCTTGGAAGTCATGAGGCGGGGGACAAGACAGCCAACACTCTTGCTCCTTATATTGATCATGGCAGCCTCCAAGCACTCTTTAACATCCATTTTGCTCATTTGTCAGAAGAGCAGAAGTCCCAACTCAGAAATCAATGCTGGATTGCTCAGTTTCCATAGATTAGTGGTGATCTTTTTCTCTGCATTAAAGAATGCACCGCTCTGTGTTAGCAAGCTCCAGCAACGTGCACTGGTGTAATTGACTGAAGAAACAGGTGGCTATCTGGATGTATGGCTTATTTATGGCTTGATCTTGCCCCAGCCCTCTGAGGTTTGTTTGCAGCTGGGGTGTCATGACACATTTGCACTGCTCCTTTGAAGGTCTGGTGCTCAGAAGGTTGTGTACACCCAGTGATATTGTGTTGTGAGGTCCTCACACTGAAAGCCTGCTGTCAGCTGATGCCTCGTGGGGTTAATGCCACCACTTATGCAAAACTGTGCATTTTATTCTTGTAAATATTACCTGCTATAGTAATAGTTGCAATGTATGAAGATCCAATGAAAAATTTGTCCTAGAGATTGACAGCTCTGCTTTCATTTTGAGAAAACAAGGTTTGCAAAAAATGCCTAATAAAGGGGAATATGTGGGGTTAAGAAGGGAGGAATTACCTGTACTTATTAAGGATCAAGATCTTTGTGGTGAGAAATGTAATGTACAGGAAAGGGAAAGGAATAAAAAGGAAAATGGGAGATCTCCCAGAATCAAGGATGTAGGGCAAAGCAGTGTGGAAGTAAGAACCACAGACCAAATGATGTGAATAAGAGCAAAAGGAGAGAAAGAGAAAACTGAAGGCAGCAACTGTCATACGATGTGTTGATACCATGCCACAATTTGTTTGTATGCTGTGCTGGCAGAAATCGTACTGAAAGAATGATCTGAAAGGTTAGGACTGGGGCAGATAAAGCAAGTTTGGGAAATATCTTAACTGTGCTTTATCACTTCAGCTTCTTCCAGATCCAGCCACATCTGTATCCAATTAAGAACAAGTGTAGCTCTGTCTGGAGGTCTCAGGTGTTTCCCAGTAATGGTAGGGCAGATCAATAATAAAAATGGAACTACGTATGTTTGGGGGAGCTCAGCAGCATCTCAAGAATAGTAAATAAGAGCTGCTATTGCTTTAATAGCTCCTGCTTGAAAAGATTGATTTCTGACTATGGAATACAACAACAGAGAAACAGGAGAGATTGCTGCATGGGGCAGACCTTCCCCTCTCTTTTAGAAGCTATTACAGCTGTGGGCAAGAGAAACAAGGGGGAGAGCATCCCTTAGCAATGGCTGGCATCAGATATCTTTGTATAGATTTAGGCTTCCATTAATAGCCAATAAGATGTGCTCTGCCATTAAAGCCAAAGAGGTAAAATCTCACCTATGTCACAAGCTTTCAGATGTATTTCTGAGACTGAAGAGTGTATTTGAAACAGATGGGAGATAAAAATAATTAAGAGAAAAACTTTGTGAGAGTTGGATATGTGCAACAAATTGCTTGGAATACAGTTACCTCTTTGTATTTATTTGGTTCACCTGTTCAGTGTGTAACTCCTATGCAGATCAAACAGCCTTTGTTGGAAGAAAATATTCTGTTTCCATCTCAATTTCACTGACTCCTGCTGCCACAAATATGTTGTGTGGTTCCTCTGCCAGGCCTTTACTGCTGGGTATCGCTCAATCTGAGAAGTTGTTCAGATTCATGTCTCTTCATGTCACTCCCAAATACATTTACACATCAAGAAATTGAATTAAAGTTTTCCTTGCCTGTGTTCTTGTCCAAGAAAGTCTGTCCCAATTAATGAATTGTGTTCAGTGTTTTGCTGTAGAAGATCATCTCTTTTTCATGAGGAATGGCAGTGAAGATGAACATTCACTGCAGAGCTTGGGTTAGACAACCTGTATAGGGCTCTGAGGATCCTGGAGACAGGAGGAGGCCTTGCAGTTGTTCCACTGTTCTACTTTTGTGGGCATCAGAGGGAGCAGCAGAAAGGCCAGAAGATTTCATGGAAGGTGAAGCTGGTGATACTGGGTGGACTTAGATCTGAAGGAGAATTCCATCATTGGAGCAGTGCATGATTAAAGGGTGGGTGGAAACCAGCTGGATGTAAGCACTTCAAACTAGAGAAATATGGGCTCAAAAAGTGTAGGTCAGGATGTTGTGGAGAAAGTAGGTGGGGAATGATCATTTCATGGTGTAGAGGAGAAGAGGTACAAAATGAAAATGTCCATCATCAGGTCTAAATAAGGAAATAGGGTATGTTGTCATTCAACATGCAAAGAAATGGTAGGGCTTATAGGCCAGGAAGATGCAAGTGAAATCCAAGATTAAGGATCATCTCTTTACATCATATTTGCCTGCTTGAGGATTTGTTTGTTTGTGTATTTATTTTCAGGTTTCTGCACTGTTATTTTGGGCTTGTAGCATAGAATTTTTACAATTAGTTTGCTGTTGGTTCATTAGGTAAATCTCAGAGTAAGAGCTAAGCTTTTTCCAAGCTTTATCCTAGAATCATAGAATCACCAAGGTCAGAAAAGACCTCCAAGATCATCTAGTCCACATTTCCCCACTAAACCATGTCCCTTAGTGCAACATCTTTGCCTTTCTTGAACTCCTTCAGGGATGGTGTCTTCACCACTCCCTGGGCAGCCATTCCAGCGACAGACCACTCTTTCAGAGAAGAAATTATTCCTAATATCCAACATTTATGTTCATCTTCAGTATAGGAAGTGATCATCCTCATTTCACATAGTGATTAGAAATGCTTGCTCTGTCATTTGAGCCAAAGTTTTAGTGTGGTAAAATCTGTATCTTCTAGCCTTGCATTTCTGCACCTCCCAGATATCTAGCACAGAATCTGAGAACTATGAACATTTGTTTTATCAGATTTGTTATGTTAGAATCTTGCATCAAATAGTGATACGAGCAGCAAAGAGTGGTAGAAGACTTATCAGAGAAATTCCCTGAAGTCAGGAAGTTGGTTGATTGATTGGTTAGCTGGTTGGTTTGTTTTTCGTTGCCATGAGGATGTACCATTTAGTTTTCCTCTACCATCGGTTGAAGCATTAAGACAGCTTTGAAAACTGTTGTGAGCAGTGAGAAGAACAGTTAAGGGGAAGTACACTTTAGAAGTACAAGAAATATGAGGAAATGAATTAAGCTGAAACTGGCCCTCTTAGCTTGCTGACAATGAGAAGCTAAGATAAAAACCACCATGGAAACCAAAGGCATCCCCAAACAGAAGGAGGGAGTCATGAGCAGGAAATAAGCAGCAGAAAAAAGTCAAATAATGGGATCCATTGTAAAGAAGAAGAAATAACAGAAATTACATAACACCTTAGAAAATAAACAACAAAAACTGAACAGTCGTGTCCTTGATTTGTTTGAACATGATTTCTCGTGATCTTGATGTGAACCCAGGTAAATAAAAAATGAATGTAAACAGTGACCATGCATAAAGCCAGAGGAACAGCAGCCCTCCAAACTGTGCTGCAGGTAGCTGCTTCTGGAGCAGTTCAACTACTTTCTCCTTTTGATAGAAAACAAAGATAGCAGAGCCTGCATGGTGTGCAGGCTGATTGTAAGGATGAATTACATGGACAGGTTTTAGGGTCAAAACCCACCTGTGTAGTATTCAAGAGCTGAAAGAAATCAGAGGATAGGCTGCTGCTAGTGTCAGTGTCAGAGAGGTCTATAGTAAGGAAGATGTTCAGATGATTCAGTAGGCAGAAATTTCTGGAGGTGATGCTTGGATATTTTCATGACTCGTGGCCGCAGAACTGATTTTCTCCTGTTTGCAGTAGTTTTATCACTCCCATGTGCAAAGATCCCCATTTCTGGAGATGTCTGCATAGCTTTTGAGTTGCACTGATGTAATTCTTCATCTAAGAAGTCGTAAGAAAGTTTTGACTGTTTACCATTTACTTCTTCTGGTTTATTGTACCAGCTTTCCAGTTAGGGATGGCAGGCAGTTTTATGTGACAAATGACACCCAAGGAATGCCGACCAGCCAACAAGTATGATTATGGAAGTTGACTGAACAGTGGTGTGATTCACAAGAGATGGACTAAGAATGGTTTAGTGGTCAGAGAAGGTGCTGGGGAAATGTGAAATTTACTTTTTGATGGATTGATTCTTTATTGAGGAACATCTGCCTTGTGTACGTGTTAAAACAGGCAACACACTTTGTCACTGGCTCTTCCTTGTAGCCAAATGTTGAAGCATTTCATTGTCAAACAAGAGTACGGTAGATTTCCTGGGAATCACATTTGAATAAAGCTCAGGGCTTGTATTGTGGGCAAGGTCTGGGCTTTGAGGAGTGCTTTCAGTTCCCAGCCTTCCCACTTGGTTGCACAGCAAGGAAGTGAGCACTTAGCTTCTCACAAGCAAAGTGAAAGATTTAAACACTTTGCTGCTCTGGTTAGGTGAAAAAAAAATATTCCAGGAATGGAGACAGTAATGTTCTTAAACAACATCTTTGCATTGCCCACAGCGGAGGAACCAAGTTCAAGCTGAGTTATGTTACCACTGTAAGAGTGTTTTGTGGACATCTCAGTTTAAAACCTGCTTATTTTGTGCAGAATGAATTTATGACCCCGTTGGTCCTTCTTGTTTGCATTGTGTAAGATGAGTACTTTTTAACAGAGGAAAATTACAAGACTTGCTGCACGTGTTACAAGAAATGTGCTCTGGTATTTGAATTAACAAAAGGCAAACGTTTGTTTAAGAGCGTGCCCAGAGAGTCTTGTTTTAATCTTCTGTTTCTTTTTCTTCCAGGAAATGTGAGCAGGAATTGCACAAGTCAGGGCTGGACAGATGTGTACCCTGCACCGTATGCTGTCGCTTGTGGCTACGATTCCAACAGCACACCAGGGGAAGAGGTCTGTAAACCCAGATGGATGGGTGGATGTCATGATTTACCTGGGATAGATAGCAGAGCCACACCACCTTCTGATGCTCTACTTTTTCATTCCTACTTTAATTCCTTGAAAAGGAGGCATCTTCCTGGGAAGTGCCTCGCCAGAGAGCCAATCTTCCCTTTAAATTCCTGCATAGTGGCAGGATCTCAGCACCTGAATAGATCAGAGCCATGTCTCTATTAGGGGGAAGTGATTTCAAACCAAAAGAGAGGAGATTTCCGCTGGATATAAGGAAAATGTTGTTTATGAAAGGGTGGTGAGGCATAGGTTGTCCAGAAAGGCTGTGGTGCCCAATCTCTGGACACACTCGAGGTCAGGGAATGGGGCTCTGAGCACTGATGGAGCTGTGGGTGTCCCTGTGCATCGCAGTGAGTGGAACCTGATGGCCTTGAAAGATCCCTTCCAACCGGAAGGATTCTATGATTCTATGATAGCTCTCTCATATTAAACAAGAAAAACTCATGCTAGAAAAAAAAAATCTCATGCTCTTTTACTGCAATCATATATTGATGTTAAACCTATGCCTGTGATGGGGCTTTTTGGTTGGTTTGTTTTTCTGGTTTTATTTTTGGTTGTTGTTGTTGCTTTTTCTGCTGTATGGTGTGGTGAGCACTGCATGGTAATAATAAGTAAATGTCTATGATGAGAAGCCTTTGTGTATAATGGGGGTCACCCATTACAAAGGCACACAAATTGTTAACAGAAAATCTGAGCTGAACTTAACCAGCCTTAATAGTAATATGATACAGAGAATACCAAATGGAAGGTTACACACACAACAAAAAGGAAGAGGTGTACCAAAGAGAGAGCCTTCAAGGTCAGCCACCACTACAAATCCCACGTATCCTGTTCCTAACATTGAGTTGAGTGGCACTGATTGCACATTTTAAGAGCCTTCATTACAGAGGAAAGCATTACTGCTTGGGAAGGCCCTCCCGCAAGAGCTCTAGTTTATTTTCCATCTGCAAAGGGATTTGGGAATTCCTGGTTTGTGCTTTGGTGACCCAATGGATTGCAGCACTGCCAGAACTCTGTGTTACCACAAGAGCATATATTGTGTTCTTCTAATTCTTTCTTAATTATTTTCTCTTGATTTCCACGGTTTTGTCATGCTGTTTAAAGCTAATTTGTGTGAAAGGTGGCAGAGGGGGGTGAACATGCAGTACAAGTCTGTGAAGAAGAATGGATTGTTGTTGTTGAATTGGCTGTCGGTCTCGGGAGGAGGAAGTAAAAGGAATAGAAAAAGAAAAGAACAGCAGGCTGTATGGGACATGAGGTGCAGAACAGATTGATCATCATCCATGCCTAAAATGCTTCACAAGCTTAAAACCTATACCACTTATATCAGAAACTGCAAGAAACTATGAGAAACAAATAAAGAGAGCATGTATTAAAAATTTATTTGTGAATTCTAGCAGTCCTTAGGAAGCAGACATAGGCACCAAAATACTGTGCTGATGATCTCTGCAGTGTTAATGCTTCCTTCTCCAGACTGACTCTGAAAAACCGTGTATTAGGAAATGGAGGATTGCTTTCCTGTCCCATTATCTGACGTGATACACAGCTTCCCCATCATCTGAGGATGCCACCCAGACATCCCTGTAGGCTCTATGTGAAGGCAATAAAAACATACTAACCCCACATTTCTCGCCAAAGAGAGAGAATCTGCATTTATGAGGAAGAACTCAGATGACTTCAGCACGTGTGATGCTATCCCAAATCAAGCCTACTTGCAGGGCTACTGGAAGACTTAATATCAGTGTTCTTTTGCACTTATGAAGGTGAATATTTCACATCCTAATTCAGTTTACCAAGAGTCAAACATAGAGGCTACTGTCCAGAAGGGAAGGAAGCTAATTCTCATGTAAGCTTAGTTTAGCATCCCTTCATGCTCTGCAGGTGGGTAAGGCATGGATACATGGTGGCAGACTCCATCACTGTATCAGGTAGATCCAATGACCCAAAGCCTTTACTATGAATTATGACCCGAATTTCTTAGTGATGTAAATTCACTTAACAAGCCTATGAAGACACTCTGCTTTTATCCATCTCTGAGATCCATGGTCCAAGAAGCAAAGCAGACATGGCCAGTCTAACCCCAGCACTCTGAAATTTCTGTGTTAACACCCCTCCAAGCTTGCTTGTGTAAATGCTAGAGGATTACCTTGCATCACAGCTTCACTGGTCCTGAAAAGCACCTAGTGCTTGTCAAGGCTATGAAAATAACCTATAGAAATGTCAGCCCTCACTGTTAGTCAAGAGTATTTTCCCAGATAAGGTTGGGCTTAGATTATCCATCAGTATGTTTTTTTGTGACTTTGTTTGTTTTATTTAACAGAAAGTGGTGGCAAGGAAGGTAGGAAAGGGTCAGTCAAGGGCTAGGAAAATTAGATTTTATTTGGGAAAACACTCTTTACTGAGTTAGACTCTTGTTAAAAAATATCAAATTAGTAAAAAAAGAAAAAGAAAACAAAACACTGATAAAACAAATGTTTGAAAACAAACTTTTCTTTTTCAGCTGAAAATTGAAATATACTTATTTAGGGTGTTGCTGGAAAGCCTTAGGAGAGCTGAAATCTTGCTGTTGTATCTCCTCGTTTTATTTATAACAGGATTCCCTGTTGGATTTAAATCCCATGGTGCTCCATGCTCAGAGAATCCCTCTGTGTGCAGACAAAGAGAAAAGCTATGGACCAACTTGCAAATGAAAATATATTTCCGAATGAACATATCTGTGCATTCAGTGAGAACATCTTAAGTTGGTTTGTTTTTTTCTTAGTAAAACACAATGTTTTGCTTCCACAAAAGCAAACCCAGACCAGTTCTGTCCCTAAAATTCCCTTCATGTAAGGAAGCTCATCGTACTCAGAGCTGACATGTCAGTGCACTGTTTAAGTGAACATTAGCTGTTCTTGTTTCACAAGGTTGTAACCATGTAGCTGTCTCTGCAAGTGTCAAATTCAGACTCCATCCTCTGCAGTTTCCTCTTGTGTAGCTGTGAAATGGTCTTGCTGTGATCCAGACACGTTCTTCTTATTCACACCAGCTGTATTTGAATCATGTTCTGCTCTGGGCAGCCTGGTCTGGTGGTTGGTGACCCTGCATATGGCAGGGGGGCTGAAACTAGATGAGCATTGTGGTCCTTTTCGATCCAGGCAATTCTATGATTCTATGTTCTCTACCAGATATGATTTTACAGAGAATTTTTTAAGAGAATGGAGTGCGACTCACTTCAGCAAGGAGGTCAGAACAAGCTCAGCAATGGTATATTTAGGTGGATTTTGGCAGCTCTTTGAAAGTCTGTTTTTATTTCTTTCCTTCCCCTTAGCAAACGGCGTTCTATGGCACAGTCAAGACCGGCTACACCATTGGACATACCTTATCACTCATTGCTCTCACAGCTGCTATGATCATTTTATGTCTCTTCAGGTAAGAGCATGAGCTCCATCACGAGACCCAGGCCTTGATGGAGATGCAGTGCAGCAAATTAAATGGCGTTGGGTGGTTAAGTGTTGGCAACTGAATTCATCCTCAGTCCCTGTTGTTGATCCTGGATTCAGACATCTGTATTTGGGTTCCTCCGTCAAACAAGTCTATGCACGAGGCAACCTCCTGTTATAGTGTTGTTCAAATATATGGCAAAAACAGCAAAATAATGAATAACTGGTAATTTTTAAGTGAAAATATTACCCGCATTGCTACAGAGTGCCTGCAGTATGAGTTAATTTGGGCAGCAGCTGCTAAGAATTTATCTCTCCTCCTGAAGAAACATTTTGCTTTGAGAAGAATTATTACGGTACAAGCATGCTGTAGAAAATTGACTTTTCTCATGAACACACTTTATTGAATCAAAAAACTTACTTTTCCAATGTAAAGAGGTACAATGGACCTTTTTTCTGTCATTCTGTGTTTTGACCTTTTTTCTCAGAATTGGAAAAGCAGCAGTGCTGCCACAGATATATGGAATGTCACGTCTTTTGTGGCTTTTAAAGGGCTTAAGTGGATTTGCTGTGTTTTACATCAAAACATTGTCTGTCTCAGGGTTTCTGATGTTTAATTGTAAGCCCGTATCTCAGCAGAAGAAACATGTAAATAGATAAATAACGTTTTAGAGAAGTCATGCTATTCAGAAATGTTGTCTCTTCCCAACAGAAAACTGCACTGTACTCGAAATTATATCCATATGCACCTCTTCATGTCCTTTATAATGAGAGCCATTGCAGTCTTCATAAAAGATGTCATCCTGTTTGAAAGTGGAGAACCTGAACATTGCTTTGTGAGCTCAGTAAGTAGCTGTGTATATTGAATTTTCCACTTTGTTCTGTTGTGCTTCTAAAACAGTGCACCAAAAACTGCCTTGCAAATGGATAGGAAACATTGTCTTGGGAAGACTTTGTTTTTTTGTTCTTATTTGAAGAGAAACAAAAGCCTGATTGATGAAGTTTAATTTAAAGGGCACGAAGTAAGTGAGCAGGGTTTCGGATTAATCTGTTGGATGTCCCAGTCAAAGAAGACTTTCAGTCTTCTGCTTAAGGATTTAATAAAGCCTTTCCCCTCAGTGATGGTAAGAGATCCAGAGTCAGATAACTCTTCTGAGATATCTGCAGGGCAGTACCTATACATGATCTACGTTTGTTAAATGCAATCATAGTCAGCTGAGATCTAATTAATAGGTTTGCTGGAGCTGTGAGCTGTCTGCCTCACTTTGAAGAAGGCCCCTCTGTGAGCTGGAAGGCTCTTTGGGCTCCTCTGATTGCACTGACCAGGTCCCTGCAGGAGTTTAGGCAGGAAATCTATATAGGGACGTAACTGTCTGTTTTTCATCTGGATCTCTGTTCCATGCTAACTGTATAACAGTGAGATTTCCCCACTGGGATGATAAAGGAAGGGAATAAAGGAGTTGGTATGTTTTCCCTGCTTTTAAGCTCAGTGTAATCAGCTGGAGTTAACACTGAGGTGGGAGAAGAGCTCTTTATCTAAGAGCTGTTTTGATGCAAGAGAACACTAGTCATGAATTAATCTCCTAAGTAGGGAGGTGTGATTACAGCATCGTAGAATGACTGGGGTTGAAAAGAATCTTTAAAAGTCATCAAGTTCCAGCCCTCAGGTTGATCAAAAGTCGTCCAAAAATTAAATTAAATTAAGTACTCCATAATAAATTCATCGTAATAGATGATCTACTTGCTGGTAGTAGCAGGTGACTGGGCACAGCAGTCGAGCAGGATCTCTTGGACTTATGTTTGCATCATAAAGCAACAGAAAAGACTGTCTTTGCTATCCACCCAGTTTTTTCCTTGCCTTTTGACCTCTCTGTATCGGTACTCCAAGTGCCATCCCTGCTGGTATAGTGGCCTTTCTGCATGAGCACTCCTCAATCCATATCAAAGCGTGTCCCACTCCCAGAGTTTCCCTGAGATCCATCCACAGCACAGCACGTTCCCATTGCAGTGACCAATACCACTCTCCATTTTTATTTTCCCTCTGTGATTCACTGGAATCTGTATCCTCCAGCAGTGAGGCTTCATTGTGAAAGCCCTGAATGATTGCTGTGACATAGAAATTGGGATGAACAATTGGCTGGTGTCTGGTGCCACACATAACTGCCAGTGCTAATTGGCAGAGGAGCCAGGAACCCAATGAGCTGTGGAGTTTGACGTAACCTCTCACCCCTGTGGCAGTTTGTAGCGGGTCATGACCGAGGCATGATTGCAGAAAATGGTGTGAGAAGTGTCTGCTGAAACACTTCTGTGCATAAACACTGGACGTTGTCCTGCAGAATCTGCAGTTCCTGGAAGTCAGGGTGCTTTCAGGCAGATTGTGGCTACCAACACTGTGTGTGTTTCCTCCCAAGCAGAGGATTTTTTGTGGTAAATGCCAGTTCAGGGTTAATGGCTGCGTCTTCCAGAAGGGCTACAAAAGCATGCGGGACAATCTGTCTCTACTACACAGGGCTGAACTTACTTACCCCTTGCAGAATCTGCACACAACTTGACCCAACAATCTGGTAAACATTTTAGGTTGTAGGGAAAACATACCTACATGAAATGCAGTTGCAGTGCTTCTCCTACCATTCATTTGCTTGGAGACATAAAATCCATTGTGTTTATGTTGAGTTTGGCAGTGTTTGGTTGGCTTGAGCTAGGTGAAATAATTGTGTTGTTTGTGCTTTGAACTTGCAAGATAAAGTTTTGCCTTGGGGGGTATGGGTGCTAACTAGTTCATATACCTAGGGTCTGATAAAGGATCTATGGAAGGTTTCCTGTTTCTACTGATAATGCAAGATATTGGCCTTGAGCTCATTCAGTCTGAGGTGAGATTTGAACAAGCAGTTCACTTTGCTGAATGCTGTCACCACTGTACTGTTTTAGAAGAAGGGAAAACCAAAGCAATAACCATCTTTTATTGGAGAAGAAAGTGCTGCACTTAGTTCCTTTGAGGAAAAAAGGACAAAAGCGCCTACCTTCGTTGGCTTTGTATGGTAGCATTTCAATTCTACTTCATTTTGTATAGTATGGGAAATTTCAGTTACAGTGTGAATTCGGAAGCATTTTAAAGTCAAATATTTTGAGATTATACAATCATAGATTCAGAGAATCATGCAGGTAGTTTCCATGGAAATAAATAGGAGGCATTACTTTCTCTGTGACCTGTATGGCATCATTTGAGTTAGAAAAGACCTTCAAGATTGTTATATCCAACCATTACCATTGAGTACAGCACAGATGCCCCGAAAAATTAGGTTTGTCTATGGGCCACAAAGTCTGAGAATGTGGCAGTAAGCATTTCAGGTAATCAGGACCAATGCAATCACTGACCAATCACAACATGCAACCTGCACTGGATGCTGATTGTTGAGGTGTGTGGTGGTGGCTGGAAGATTGGACTGGAGGTCTTTTCCAGCCTTGGTGGTTCTATGATGTAATGATCCTACAGCTGATCCCATAACCAATGCAAAGTGGCCCTAGACCTTTGTGCTGCTACAAGGAAAGGCCCAAATCAATTAGGCCCACTCTTAGGCACAAAGGGGATCCTTCCTCTCGTGTGACAGCACATAGACTGACCTTTAGAAAACAGCCTTACTAAAGCACTGTGGCGTTTTCCAGGGGGAAACAAAGCACTACTGAGGACGCTGAGTATTTTAGAGGGAGAAACAGTAGAGAAATCTCATGGCCACGTAGATATGCAGTTACTTGCCCAAGGAACCAGCAGTCAGTAGTTTCTCTGTCATCCCCCTAAGTTAGAAGGTATGTCTGTGATTATGTGAACCTGAAACATCACGGTGACTTAAATTTCTTACAGATTGGCATATGCTCAAGTGTATTAGCAGATACAGGCTTTAAGCATCCAGATGTAGATATCATCATGTTAGGAGATTCTGTGGTGCCACCCATCCTGACTCCTCCAATAACTGTTCCAGTTCTTTCAGAATGCTTTCTGTCTCAGTAGTCAATCATTTCTGATGGAAAAGCTTCACTGCATCCAGTGGTTACTCAGACTGTGTGAAAAATTGCCTCACTTTCCAGTCTGTATTTGCTTGCATTCTTCTGGATTCTCTTTTTCACTTCCAGACTAAAAAGGCCTCCTAACAAACTCTAGCTTTTCACATTAACTTTCTTTAGACCTGCTGATGTTCCATTTTAGCATCTTTCTCTTTACTTCTCTCTGGAAAATGCTATATGAAGCTCAGAAGCCAAAGTTGCAAACATGGCAGGATTGACTTGAATACTTTGCTTGTCTGTCCATTTGATCTATGCCTGTGCTTTTATAGGTAAGATTTGGTTTAGTTTCATGATTGTATGAAATGTATGGATTGTAAAACTTGTGTTTGCAGTTTAGCTAAATACAAAGAAGCCAAACATATAGTTTGATATAAACAAAGATCCAGTTCTGCAGATTGAATTCAGACTGACTTTTCTTGAGCTCTGCAAATTTGCCTTTGCTGAGGATTTAGCCAAAGGAGCAGTCATTTCTCTTTGTCCTTCTGCATACCAGTAAGACAATCAAATCCAAAGAGAAACCATTGGCAAAGGAGGGCAGGACTCTTATCAGTAGTGAGCGTTTGTACATGTCTAATACTTTCAGAGTGGAAAATTCATTTTTCAACACGAGTTCCCTCAGGCCAAACTGATGAAAGGATGTCTACTCCCTCTCTCCATCATCGTGGACTGGCATTCGATGAACTTTGGCTGACTGGCTTGGATGAAGAACCTGGCACAATCCTGTCTGTACACAATGAGAATTTTCCCCTTGACTTTAATTGGAGTTGGGTCAGGCCCCAAAATGTGTGAAAGAATCAACTAGCACTGTTTCAGAAGCTCAGCCCATTCCTGCACAACTCTAAAGCATCTATTGATTTCTCAGACCAGCCAAGCACAAGGGTGCTGTTTGAGATAAGGAAAGGCCTTAAAGTCTGTCCTGCTGTACAAATAAGGCCAAATGTGAAGCCCCCTTTTTTGCTCCATTTTGCTGAACTATTTAGGGTGAAGGAAACTCTCTTGCTTCCCACCTAATAGGTAGCAGTTACAGTTGGGTTTCACTCCAAGGATCAGCGCAGGGAGCAAAGGAACAACCACTGCTCACGTGGATTGTTTCTCTCTATGTTCTTCCACTCGTGTCTGACCTGAACCACCTTAATGGCTTCAGTGGATGGGCACTGAAATAGAATGGCTTCATTTCTTCTTTCTGAGCTTTTTGACAGCGTTTGGTTTCTGCTTAAGGTTCTGATGATGTTGCTGCCACAACACAAATCCAACATTCCAATTTCCTTGGTCTACATTTTTACCATTAGGTGAGAGGAAGAGATTTCCATCTACCTGGTAATGAAACATTATCCTTAAAACTATCTTGTATCTCCATATCTGCTGCATAACTGCTGATCACGGGGGAAGAAAAATAACCAGAGAACGCTCCTGTAAATGATATGAAGAATTTAAAAACAAACAAACACAAACAACCAGAAAGCAGAGAGAAGGAATGGGGTCATTGTGTGTTTGCCAATTCTCCTTCAGATCTCACACCAGCATTTTAAGGTTCACTTCACCAAAGGTATTGAGGCAGTCCTAAAAAGGACCAGAAAATGGAAAGGAGATTGGAGGAGAGGAAGAAACAAAGAGGTTAAAGAGACAGAGGAGAAGAAGAAAGAGGTTGAAGCTACACTCTTCAATTAGCCAGGACCTAATAGTAAATACAGTAGCCAAAAGTACAATCATAGACTGGTTTGGGTTGGAAGGGACCGTTAAGATCACTTAGTTCCAACCCACTCTTCTATGAGCAGAGACATCTCCC